ATGTAGAGGTGCGTTCGTACATTGAAGCATTAGTTCCCATAGGAACTAATGCAAAGCTGGTTAATACGTACTCTACCACTAGGGGGAGAACTTTTTTTTAACCTAAGATGACCTAAGGTTAAAAAAAGAGCAGGAAAGTTTTTTTTTCCTGTTCTTATCTGGATTTTTGTTCTCAAGTAGAAGCAAAATTTAGCAAATGGAGCTGTTCTTAAGTGGAATTGTTCTTAAGTAGGGACGTTCTTAAGTAGAGACCCCACTGTATATGAATGGTGATCGAAATATTCAGATGAGGGGCATAATAGTGTCAAGACGTCTCTGTCCCTGAGAAGATAAGAATAAACCTTAGTGGTATAACTTCCAGAGAACTATATTTTTCTACTAACTGACCATCCCACCCTCTTTTACTTAAGGGATACACTCAGTGCATGGCAATGTGATGGATGAAGATAGAATCCAAACAGGCAGAAGGTTAAGAAACTAAAAGAACTAAATTATCACTTGCCTTTAAAATGTATGGGTTGTATATTGGTACAGTGACTCTCATGGTTCTAACTTTGAGAGCTCTGGTGACTCCAGAAACACTGAACTGTTATTTATTCCCTGGTGGCCATTCTCTTTGAAATCCTTCTCTACAGAACTGGACAAAGGGACAAACCTGGATCTTTTGAAACCACACATTGACTAAATGTTTATTGTCAGAGGACATACGTCTAGACATAAATTGAATCTAAGCTGACAGCTACCAAAAGGAAAGTTAAAATAATACTGGCAGTTAAATCATCTGAACTACAGCTGAACTCAGGGAAAGCATGAAATAGGAAATATAATTTTAGCAGCAGCCAGCTCTTGAACCTTGACAAGATTAAACCGAATATCAGTTTTGATGGATGTGGATGATTCTGGAAACTACTGTAGATGGGAACAGCTGACAGCTAGCAGGAATTTGGGGCTTTGTTTAAATGTGGTTTCTTCAAATGCTAACTCTCCAGGAATTCTTTTTGTAAAGCCACAGTCTTTGCCTATAGTAGAAGTGTAATGGGGTCCAGCTCTGAGCTATCATTTATTCTTCATATGAGCTGAGCAATGTGTATAATAACCTCATGCTCTGCTTTATTTGTATACCTGACCTAAGCCTTGATGTGTTCAGAGTTGCTCAGATTGTCATCAAAATGTAAATTCTCAACATGACACCTGAATATCTGCCTGAGATGTTAGCATAAAACTGTAGGATCTGGCTGTAACAGAGGGAGTTTCCACAGATTAGTGGAAACAATGCTCTGGATGTGTGTGTTACATACAGCACTGATGTTACCTGTCTGTCATGGGTTTGGAGGGAAAGTTCCATCCTATGGGGAGTGGAAGGCGGGACATCAGGAGGAGGGGCTGTACTGTATAAATATAGGTGATGCCTGGGGGAAGGGTTGAAGAGATGCTGGGAGACGCTGGGATGTGACGAAGCAGCAGCTGGGAAGAAGAAGCTGTTGTGGGAGTCTGTGTGTCAGACAGGGTACTTCTGTGTGTCAGAGTACCAACCTGATAGGTTCAGGTGTCTGTTGGTTAGCCAGAACTGATAGGTTCAGGGTCTGTGCTTTAAGTTAAGGGTTCTGTGTGAACCAAACTGTATGCTTGGATGAGTGAGAATAAGCCACGTTACTTTACCTTATTCACCTGATTATTTTATTTTCCTGTGTGTTGTGTTTAAATAAACCTTATTCTTTATTTGTTTAAAAATCCATCCCTGGTCTGTGTGACTTCTTAAAGGGAATGGTTGGTGGCAGCTTAGTGTAACTGTGTGACATATCCCAGTAGGTCTGGGTTTGTCACAGTGTGCACGTCAACATATGCATGTGTGAATGTTCTCAGTGCTCTGTATCTGTGGAAAGAAAGCCCTTCTCTGAATTGGGGGGGGGGATCTCTATCATCCTCTAATGAACAGAACAAAGACTGTCAGAAGGACTGCAAGACATTTTGCTCTTTAACTCAGAGCAATAATTTTCACCTCTAAACTCAGGAACCAATATACAGCCAAGGTACTTTGGCACATATTCTGGTAGAATGTCTCACAATTCCTAGTAGTAAAAATACAATAGTAACAAATCAAGTACTGTAACTAACAATATACAGTAGCATGGTCTCTGGCGCCCTCTCATGGCCAGTTCTGATAATGTGTGTTAAAATATTTTTTGTTTTTTCCTTTTACCATGTTCTCTCTCTCTCTCTCTCTCTCTCTCTCTCATTAACTATTATCCACAGTTTTTAGTATCCATAGGGGGACTAGAACCAATATCTAGCAGATATGGGTATCCTAAAGGTAAAGGTAAAGGTTCCCCATGACAATTTTTGTCCAGTCATGTTCGACTCTAGGGGGCCGTGCTCATCCCCGTTTCCAAGCCATAGAGCCAGCGTTTGTCCGAAGACAATCTTCCGTGGTCACATGGCCAGTGCGACTTAGACACGGAACGCTGTTACCTTCCCACCGAGGTGGTTCCTATTGATCTACTTGCATTTGCATGCTTTTGAACCGCTAGGTTAGCGGGAGCTGGGACAAGCGACGGGCGCTCACTCCGTGTGGATTCGCTCTTACGGCTGCTTGGTCTTCTGACCCTGCAGCACAGGCTTCTGTGGTTTAGCCCACAGCACCACCATGTCCCTACTAAACCCCAAATGTGCTGCCTCAGGCAGTTGCTTTGCCATGTCTAACAATGGGGGCAGCCCTGAAATCCATTATACAATCAGCAGAAGTTAAACTGGCTTGATCAAGATCTCCAAGCAATGGCAAAATTCACTGAGGGTTCCTCTTGTGAACGCATAAAAGAAGACGGCCCAAATCCTGTTACAAAAAGCCATGCACCAAATGGCATTTGCTCAGCAGTTTTTCATCTCATCCCAGCTATTTTTTGTGCACTCAGTCATGCACCTGATTTTGCAACCAGTGTGTGACCAGTTGTGTGAAGGGAAGCCTTACCTGCAGGAGAGACAACACACAATTGTTCTTCTGCATTCTTTTAAGTGAACAGGATTGTATCCCATAGCATTAGCTTGTCAAACTCTTGTTGCACAGAAGAACATATCAGCAATCAGCATCTCAAGGGACAGACAGGTCTAATATTCCTACCTCAGTCTTATTTCTATTTCATGTATTCTACTGGAAAATCCCCATATTATACATAACAAAATAGGTTTTCTTCTTTGTGTATGTGTTATAGGTTAAAATAAAGTAAGCAAGTATTATAAAATGCAAAATTGTAAGAACTGCATTTCATAAGAAATTGAGGCTTAAGTCAACAAGTCCGTAAAAATCATTACCTTCTTCTGAGGCAATAAAATTTTCAACATTCTCTTGTCCCCGTTCAGAGTGGTTAGTAACGGCACTGCCACTTTTTGTCCTTCGAAGAACACTGAAAGCTCTGTTAATCTTTTTAAAAGACCTGCTTCTTACAGTGGAGCGTTCAAAATGTCGAGCTGTAGGAGAAAGAGAGGGAAAATAAATAATTTTTTCAGTTTGGCTACAGAACTGGTAAAACCAAAATACTTCTTGTTGTCAATAAAGATAGTGTTGAAATAAGAATTAACTTCCCCATGACACATGGCCTCTCATGTTCTGCCTGTCTCTTATGGTTTGGCAGATTTGAATATATGTTAGGACTCCCTTCCAGCTCTGCAATTCTAAGCATATACATGTGTACTTTAAGAAGAATAATGTGGAAATTGTATTTTGTGTGAGAAAACATGTTCAAAAGTACATATTTAAAAATGTTTTTAAATATAATTTTGTGCTTATTAAACATGGATTTTGAGATGGACTTTGAATGGGCCCATTCAAAACTGATAAAGATCACTAATGGACACATCCAGCCATCTCCACTTACCACATGTGTGGCCTCCTGAATTAACTTCACACATTTCTTTATTTTGTTCAGGGGCTAAGTTAAGGTAAAATATCAAAATTAATCAATTTATGCTACTGTTGCTCCTAACTACTACTAAGTTTAGCTAAATTTTCAGACTTTTGCAGCAAAATTCAGATTGGCAAAAGGGCAAAATATTGTGTTTAACAAATAGCTCAGCAAAATACAGTACTGATCTGTTCTCCAAACTGGTTCAAAACTATTTGCCACCAGTCCTGGCCGTAGCAGTTCTTATTCAGTTCTGTCTCTTCAGCTCTACTAAAAATGCAATAGGGTATCAGCAATTCTCACAAAGAAATCAGATCCTACGTAGATAATTAGATAATGGTTATGTGAAATAGCATTGAATAAAGAAAATAAGGTGTCTACACTGCCCAGTGTAAGAGAAAACATATATGTGGAGGCAACCAGATTAAAACAGCAATAAAAAGTAGCTGAAGAGAAACATCTTATTTGAAAAATGAGATAAGACATATGACTTGTAAAATTCCATAGGGTTTATGCTTGTCATTACTCTTGCTTCAACCGAGAAGTACAAAGGCATGAGCTTTAGATCTTTTCCTGGACACCCTACATATAAAGTACAGAAATATAATGGAAGTAAAAGAGTAATGTAATATAGTGGAATGTTTGTGGCACCAAACAGGCATTATTTGAAAAATGAGATAAGACATATGACTTGTAAAATTCCATAGGGTTTATGCTTGTCATTACTCTTGCTTCAACCGAGAAGTACAAAGGCATGAGCTTTAGATCTTTTCCTGGACACCCTACATATAAAGTACAGAAATATAATGGAAGTAAAAGAGTAATGTAATATAGTGGAATGTTTGTGGCACCAAACAGCTATTAAACATAATTAAATCCAAAATATCTATTCACAATAGGATCATATCAGCATCAGATTTATTTAGCTGCACTCCATATAATAACAATCTCCTTCCTCCCTCTCCTTCTTTGTTTCCTGAAACCCTGCTAATGTTGTTTTTTTTAAGTTACAAAATAATTAATGAATGTTCTGCTTCTTCTTATTATTTTTTAGCCTCATAGCATAAGAAGCTGAAGGAAGTTTCAAGACCCCCCCCCAGCTATTAAATCTAATTTTGTTACTCTTCTCTTTTTCCTTTTTTAAAATAATTTAAAATGTATTATGACATGTAAAGATTAACATAAGAAAGTTGTTTGGAACAGAATTTAAAAAACTGCCATTTCAAACCACAACTCCCAGAATCCCCTAATCTGTGTGCCTATGACCATGCTAGCTGGAAGAATTCTGAAAGCTGTAGACCCAAAAAGTAACTTTTTCAAGCTCTGAATTGAGCAGAAATGGAGTGAACGTCTCTTTGGGTCTTACATCTTGTTTGACTGCTTCTGTGAAGATCTGTAGAGGCGGCTCCTGACTGACTGTCGTCTGAGGTGGTGCTGAAGGCTGGATTTATTAAGCCTGGCTCATCAGTCATTAAGGCTATAGTGGCGGCAGCAGAGAACTCTGGGCCAAGTGCGGCCACAGTCAGAGCAGGGTTCGAATCAGGAGAGCCATCCTGCGAACGCCGCTTCCGTTCCTTGGTAAGGCCATAATGAGAGGCTCCTTTACATCTACAGAAGGGGAAGAAAGGCGGATTACATTGTGAAAACTGTTCAGGTCAGGATCAAACTACCAGTGACACGCAATACAGTTTTCTCAGAGACAATGAAACAGAGAAGAAATGATTTGACCAGAGATTAAACAAGATGGATATGAGAGGGAAGCAAGTATGTATGTACTCCATTACAGGCAATGGTGACTTTATCTTGCCGTTTTGAATTCTGTGTATAAATTATTGTCCGTCTCCAGACCAAGCAACAGTAACAAGCCCAATACTTAACATTGGTTCTATTGATTAAAAAAAGAATTACATTAGACCATGAACACAATGAAAGGGTGTTATGGTTTCTCCCAGAACGAAACACAAAAGGCTGAGGAAAACAATATCCAATAATGATGGATTAAATTATTAATTCATGGGAAAGGTGCAACACATGCCTGTTTGTGGCTGGAGTTCCACTGCGCAGGAAACAGAAAGGCAAGCCTGGCAGGTGAACCGATCGACACAAAGGACAGAGTCCATAATCAGCCCTCTGTCTTTCCCTAATGAATGAAGGCAGTGTGAGGCACGAAAGCATGTCTGTGTCAGCTTATGCTTGGGGAAAGAAAAAGGCCCACATACAGGAGCCGGCTGCATCCTGCACCCTGACAAACAGTGTCCACCCTAAAAAGCTGTCCCAATAGGAGTGGAGTTGCAGCTGCCTTCCAGACTCGTGTTCCCATTCCTGTTGTAAACGGTTTCCCCAGAAGAGATTTGAAAGAGGGCTCCCTTGTTGCTCCACCTGTTTTTTAGTCAGAGCTGGGATGCTTCAGAAAGGGACAGGTTTAGGTCCACATACAAAGCCCCTCCCCATCCAAGCCCTTCAGTTAAGACAGTGATTTTCTGACACTTGGGTCCATATCCCTTGATTTCCCTATCAGGTTAAGAAGGAAATGAGCAATACAGATGTGCCATTCAAGGAAGACACAGAGGACAGTATCCGCTCCGCCCTTCTCCCCAGCAATGTTACTGCTGACACGTATTACACTTTAAGTCAAGAAGACTGAGGTCACACATACACATGGTTATTATCACATACATAAAGCACGCAGCCCCAAACGAGGCTCTTTGCGGTACTCATCTGCCATTTAATCATGAACATCTTCATTTGTTTATTGAAAATATTTTTTTACCCCACCTTTCTCCTACATCATTAAAAAAAATAAAAGCTAAAAGAGGAAATTATTCAAATACTTAAAATGAATTAACATTATATTTAAAATGTTAGGTAAAAGCATTACTAAAAGCAAATTTAGAAGCAACAGAAATACAAACAACCCTATTTGGAAACCTCTCCTAATAGTCACTAAGGAAAAGCTTGCCTGAAGAGACATGAAGCTTTGAACCGTCACCATGCATTTGGCCTTCCACCTTCAAATCCCCACATTCTTCCCACATAAGCAGCACTGGGCCCTATAGAGACCAATCAATCAATTGTTTACTTAAGGACTAAGACCAGCAATATATTACAATTAAAATACATTACAATTAAAATATAATTTCCATAACCTCTAAAAAGCAGGCGATCCATTTTGAAACATTAACGTCCATGTTAATATCTTCCTTTAACGTAGTAAACAAGCACAGATTAAACACAGGCCAAAAGCTATTACTGCGTCATTGAAGGTTCATTATCATAACATTAGGCCAGGGCAACCAGTAGCCTCACAAGGATAGAAGGCTACGGTATGATATTACAGCAGCCCAATATATAGCCACATGTAGGGTAATGTCTGGGACTTTGTCTGAAAGCAGCAAAGTTATACATGTATAGAAATTTGTATTTCTCCCAGGAAATTTGTGTAGAATGGAAAAAAGAGAAAAGATTTTTGCAGGTCTTGATAAAATGAGCATTGTAACAAAACATGTCCCACAGATTCAGTCTCTTCTCCATTACATGGACATAAACGTTCAGCGTAGGGGAAACCTTGAAATCTTGCTTCTAAAAGTTAGAGGGCAGGAGATTGAATCTCACTAGAGTGAAGGCTCTTCTAAACTTGGGTAAAGGTAAAGGTTCCCCTTGACATTTAGTCCAGTCATATTCGACTCTCGGGGACGGTGCTCATTCCGGTTTCCAAGCCATAGAGCCAGCATTTGCCAATAGACAGTTTCCATGGTCACGTGGCCAGCATGACTAGACACAGAACGCTGTTACTTTCCCACCGAAGTGATACCTATTTATCTACTCGCATTTTTACATACTTGCGAACTGCTTGGTTGGCAGGAGCTGGGACAAGCGATGGGAACTCACTCCATCACGTGGATTCGATCTTATGACTGCTGGTCTTCCGACCTTGCCTAAACTTAGGGAGTGTTAAATTGGACAGACAAACAGGAGGTTTAAAGCTTCCATTTCCTATTGCACTGAGTTTGTCTGGCAAGCCTAAGTGTTCTTGTAGTTCTATATCCTGTGTTTTATGACTGCTTTAGCATTTGCACAACCCATTGTTATGAGAACGCTGGAGAAAAACCTATCTGAGTCAATGCCATACTCAGGAAACACTTCCATTCCAAGTAGAAAGTGTCTAATAATATCAATGGTACCAAACCTACCGGGCAAAAATTAACTTTCACCAATAATTGAACATCTGAATCTTTGCCTGTGCTCTAATAGAAACAAACCCTGCCTCCAACCTCAGTGTTGTGTTGCCAAGTGCATGAGGGAACTGCACAAACAGCCCTCAAGAATTTTGTCTGTACCAGCTCGAGGTGTTGCATGTTGAGAGTGCGCAAATATTTGGGAGCCACAGAGCTTTTGGGCTATATTTTTTGCCTTGAATACTGTACTTGTAGCACAGATGGCACATGTTGTCCCCCTTTGGTGTAACTGTAAAAGAACCTAATTAATTCTGTGGCACTTTTCTGTGCATTAGTTGCCGCAAAATTAGTATGGGGGGACCAAGATCTGGTAGAATGGAAAATTATTTCCAGATACTTATAGCACCCTACAACTGTAAGGCGCTATTGTACTCAATAGTTCCTTCAATTTTATATTGCCTTTTGATTCCTTAGGTAGTATAGAGAGTACACTATTCTAGGAGCATTAATCCAAAAAAGTAACTTTTCAAAGCTCTGAACTTGTGACCCACCTAGTAAAAAGCAGCCCAAAGGCTCTGTATGACTCATAACTAACACTGCAAACAGATAAGACTGTGACTCAGGAGACTCAAACTTAAAAATGAAAAGAAATATTATTCCAATAAATGTGCAGAAATTTGTTCAGTTTATGGTTACAGGCTATTAATTAATTTGTAATGTTATGCCTCTCCATGAACAAAACACACAGCAGAAAACAACGAGAAAATCAACAACAAAAAACAACTATATGTAGCAAACAAGCAATGACTTCTCTATGATGACACTGCTCTCTCACACAAACTTCCTGAGGTACACATACAAGTTTTTATACTCCAAGAAATATCCAACTGTCATGCTGTGAGGAACATGAAAGATTAATTGTATATTTAATGAGAGTCACACAAGAACCATAAAAGCAGGCCACTGTGAGGAAACTGACTGTCATGTATTTCTAGAAGAAACCCCATTCTGCCACTGCAGTGGTTCAGAACATGTTCCTGCTTGTAATGAATTCTGCTTTCTCATCAGCCTCTAATGGGCTTGCCCTACTTTTTGTTTTTCTTATATTTTCTTCATGACTAGGGTTAGCTGATGACTTTCATACAAATGCCCTCTGGTAAGAAAGTACTGGAACAGCAGTAGACCATAACAAGGAAAAGTTGTTTTAAAGAATGGAATGGAGGTAGTGAAATGTCAGAGAACAATAGCTGCTGAAGTGCAGCTTACTATCCAGATTTATGCCCATCCCTTTTGAATTTTTCCAGCTTCTTTCTTTCTTTTCAAAGGGTTGGTCCACATGTAATTTGATTGGCATAGTAACTGTTTCCGCATGCCCGTTAATGTAATGAATAGTATTAGCTCCCAGGGGTGTGGCAGTTTCCGGTGCTTGGGCTAAAGACCCCTTTACAGCATCTTTCTTACTGTCATATTCTTGGGCAAAATTAAATTATATATTTAGCACATTTCTAGAAGATGTGCTCCCTCAAGTAGTGAAAGGCTTTGATCTATTGGCATTCCCAGTTAGTGTCTTCCTTTAGGGGCTTCATCTCTGTCTGGAGACAACTCCAAGGATTGCTAGACAAAAATCTGTTCTGTGTGCCCACCATCTGGCTCAGGTACAAAAGGGGGGGAAGTGGGGAGGGGACAGCCACGGCCAAAAGGAAACGTCTTAATTTCCATTGCCAATAATAAAGCCAGCTGCTATATGTCTGTTCATTTGAATCCATAAAGGCTGCTGTTCATGTTTGCACAACAGCCCAAATAGCTAGAGTTCTTTTTAGAAAAAAAGAAGAGCTGCTTTAATCCTCACACCAAAGACCTACCACATTCTGAACCATATAGATGCCCATGGAAAAACCAGTCTGATATTGAGAGGGATGCTGCCTTTGATGCAGTAAACAGTTACAGTACTATGCCTAGTGGTCAGAAATTATCCCACAATCATATATAGGTAAGGGTGGGCTATAGGGTGGCAGTGTCAGGAGTCTGCCATTTTCAAGGACATTCTTCCATTTGCAGAGGTGTTGTCTCATTTGGATCCTGCTATGCATGGGAAAAGCCAAGAAAACACTTTCCCCTTCTTACCTTTCTGGCTTTCCCAATAGCTGCATCTTTCTCTCCAACCTTGCCCCAGTGTTCCTCCTCTTCCCAATATTTCCTCCATTGTTACCCCAGCACTGAACATCTTTGGAAGAAAATGCCTATCTATAAATGGAGGGAGATGTTACAAGAACTAAATTCTGTGCTTAACTCACACCTCCATTTCCTCTCTTTTGTACTAGGGAGATGGTAAGACAGTGGGGTACAAAAGAGGTTGTCTAAAAGTCAGCAATATGACCAGAAACATTCCTTATAGTAAACTGTTGTCATATCCCTTTACAAAATGATTCCACT